TATTTATTAATTATTCAATTTCTCTATAATTATACAAATGAAGTTGGTTAAAAAATAAATTATAAATTAGATAAGAATTAAAATTTATCATTATTAGAATGATTAATCCAGTACTGCTTAAAGACAAAATATGGAGAAGTTTAAAAATAAATATAATCAAGTTTTTTTGGATTTGGAAAATCAAAAGCAATTGCTAGTTTACCCATCAAACCTGTAGAAAATACTTCAATCATTCGAAAGATCAAAGTGAAAATGTGCTACTCTAATAGTATGAAGAAGCTTAAATATAATGGTATGATATTTAATCCTAATTTTATTATTATTATGATATAGTAGCAACTTCTCCTGAATTCTAAAATAATAATGATTAATACAAGAAGGAAAAGTGACAATAAACTTCTGAATAACTTACTAATAAAATTAAAATATATGTTGAATTATAATTTGAAAATTATAACAATTAAGTTTCATTTTAAAAGATAATACAATAACAAATAATTCAACTTTTGATTTTTATATAGCTCAATTAAAGGAAGAGTTATAAAAACAGTCTAATTCAATGTTATTTTTAACCAAATATTGAAAATTATAATCTCAAACATAAATTGGTAATCTATAAGAACAATAACAGACTGGATAAAACATATTTTAGACTTATCCTTAAAATTAAACACATTTTGTATTCTTACCTAATTAATCTTAAATGTAACCATATTAATAAATTAAAAATATTTAGCCACACCTTTAATTAAAAATTTCCATAAAACAAACCATTTAAAATAATTAACCAAATCGCTAATTAACATAAAATTAACTATTAATTAGCCAATAATAAAACCAAGATAATCAATAATTTTAAGAAATCAATAACTCCATTTGAATAACCTAAATCTTTAATTAGAAAATCAAAGTGATGTGAATTGATTATTATATTGTGAAATCCTAATTTGCTACTCCACATTTAAATCACAAATTAATATATCTTACTATTTTGAAAATAACACATGTCACATATAATTTTAGATGAATATTATAAAAGCATAATTAATATGGCACTAATTTATATTGATATATAAGTTATGTTTTGGATTATTTAAATCAAATTTTTTAGCTAGTATTTAAAAAATAACATTTACTAAGTAATACATAAAACAGCCAAGAATCTTTTACTTATTGAGAAATTAAGAATAGAACATAGAAATCAGATTTTAAAAGATCTTAATTTTTAAAAAATTTATTAATTATATATTAAAGGGATAGTAGAAGTTTAAGTTTTATCAATAAAATTGTTTTATATATATATTGTGTAAAAGTTTAAAAATACTTTGCTGTTGTTTCTTGCAAAAAATCTATAAGTTATTCATAACAATATTAAATTTCTATGCTGACTATATTAATAAATTTATAATTCATTCTTAAATATGTTCTAATTCATCATTATAATTTCTAACTTATAGCAGATGTTGTTCTTGAAAAAAATTAATTCTATATTAAATAATATTAATTATACAATTTATGGTTAAATTTAATTTTTAATTTAATTGCTTTCTTTTTTTTTAAATGATATTAGAACCAAATCTAAGGTAAAATTTTACTCTATAGTTAGAAGCAATTATTAAATCAATTATTACCAATTCACTTCATTAATTTGTTAAATTTCTTTTAGGATATCCTCTTTTTTTGAAAAATAATAAGATAGAAATTTTTAGATTTATTAATTTGGATTAATCGAAAATAACCTCGATGGAAATAAGCTTTTTCCTTTAATTAATTCATAAAAATGGTAACCTAAACAAAATAAATCTTGACTTCCATATGTTTTTTGCAACTGATGCGATTTTACCCAATAATTATTCTACTTAAGATACTAAAGAGATTTTAAATACTATTTATATTATGTTGAATTACATCTAAGAATATAGCTTCTCTATCTGAAAAATTCAAATCTTAATTATCTTTAAGATATTACTCGAATGTAATCTAACTAAATTCCTAGATTATATAGTATGTGCCATTTATTTCAAATTTTTCATTTTAAAATTTTCCTAACCAATCTCTAGCTTCTTAATTTTTATTATAAACTTCAATTTCAATATTACATTATTATAATAAATCGATTTTAGCTTAATCTTAATGTTCATATTTGCTTTGGACTATTTTTTAAATCAATTAAAAGTTACTTCTCGGTATTTATTCAGATTTTATAATATTTTATATCGTTTGCTCCTCTAAAGAAGAATTTTAAAAATTTTTTGTTAATCGTAAAGTCTTTTATTGGTCTTATAGAAAATCAATTTACGTTTGAGGATTATAATTTTTAATATTTGGTTCAGAATAACTTTGAATATAGTCTGTTTTTTATAACTCTTCCTTTAATTGAGCTATATAAAAATCAAAAGTTGAATATATTTAGTTTTTAATTTTTTCTATTATTTGTTATTCTACTAATTGTTCAAATTTAATTTGTTTTTTAGAACCATCCATTTATAATTCAATATATTCTTTTATAATTTTTGTTAGTGATTAAGAAATTGATTGCAACTTTTACTCCTTTTATTAATCATAATTATTTATTATTTCATGTTGAGTTGTAAATATAACCTAATTTTAAAAATTCTGTAATTAAGGTTAAAACTCCTATGATTTAATTTAATTATCAAAAGAAATTTATTGATACTATTAAAATGGCATATTTTAACTTTCATTTTTAGAGTATAGCGTAGTATTTTCTTAGGGTTTTATAAATTAAAATGTATTTGCATTTAATTTTCCAAGTTCATTAAATTTTTGTGATACTTAATTTTAAACTTATTCCATATTTGGTCTTTTAGTATGATCTGGATTAATCATTTTTATAATGATGTCTTTTAATTCTGATCTAATTTATAATTAATTAATTTTATTATGAACTTCTTTTTAATCTTGACAATAAATTTTTATTTTTTCAGAAACTTAATCTTTTGTTTTACCTTAAAGAGATTAAAAATAATAAATACCATCAAATAAAGGTGATTCTTAGAATATTTCATAAAAAAGACATCCTAAAGACCAAACATCAACAGAATTAGTATATTATCCATTTTCAAAAATCATTTCAGGAGCTTAATAAAGAGGTGTTCCAACATTCAATGTATTTCTTAGATTTTCTTCTCTTTTTTTAATTAAACCAAAATCAATTAATTTGAATATATTACCTGATTAAATAAAATTTTCAGGTTTTATATCTCTATGAATCA